CCCCCCACCCCCAGGGGAGGCTACTTTGTATGTTCTCTCCTCCCCCCACCCCCAGGGGAGTGCTACTGACTGAAGTGTCTTTAGGCCCTTCCCAAAAGGGGTATGATTATATTAACATGTTCTTATGCACAGCAGAATTGTAAATGGGCTGATTTATCAATGTCATGCTCATACTGTGCCGGAACAACATAGGGGGAACTGCTGCTTTTTCTGTCCTCATTCTTACTATCGTCATTTTCCCTCTACTTTTTTGTATGTTTGTCACTTTCTTGTGAACTGTTATTTCGGGGGTGCCTTGATAGTCGAAGCAGACTTTGTGCTGTTGAGGCTAGAGAAGTGAGCAGAGTATGCCTGATTCCCCATTGGACTTCTCTGTTGACATCCACTCCTTGGCGCTCATATGACCTTATGCAGTTGCGAGCACCGTAAAACGTTACTAAAACAAACACACAATTGTGTGTTCCTCTCAGTGCACTGTGTGGCCTCTCTGCATTCTTTAGCCTCTTGAGTAACCTGATGTGCATCTGTTTTGTAGGCTTCACGGGAAAAAGGATGAACTCAAAATGAAATGAGTACTTGTTTATGAGTTTTTTTGTCAATCGCACTCAACACAATATATTCTGTTTTATATATACAGTGCAAAAATAGACTATTTGTATCAGTAGAATCTATGTATTTAGACACATTTACAGGCATCTATAATATGCAGAAGAGCAGAGAGATAATCAGATTTATTGTAACACACTAAAAAGAAAACTTGATTTTACTCCAATGTATCTATTCTTGTCAGAGTGCAATACTGACACTGTTTGTGAAATTATTTCCTGTTGTATCATCCAAGGCAAACCTTTTTAATGAAAAGTTTTCATTAAAAAGAAAAAAAGAATGGAAAAGCTTATTACTTTTTAGAAAATTAAATTTTAGCCTGGTCAGTGATTTGTTTCCTGTTATTTTCAAGCATTTATTTTTACACTTGAATCACACGACAACAGCTACAAGTATTTTTTCAAGTAAAACTTTAATAAACGTTTTTCTTTGCCTATAACAGGGGGAATTCCTTATTTTTTTTCCCCAGTTACACTTAATGAACGTTTTTCTTTGTCTTTAACTGGGGAAATTCCTGATTTTTTTTTTCCTGTAAGACTTATTGAACATTTTTCTTTGTCTTTAACAGGAGGAATTCCTGATTTTTTTTCCAGTAAGACTTTAAAAAACGTTTTTGTCTGTCTGTAACAGGAAGAATTCCTAACGGGTAAATCGATCACATACGGCGAGCTGAAGGAGAGAGCCATCCGGGTGGCCAGCGCTCTGAGTGGCCTGGGCTACAGCAAAGGGGATGTGGTTCTGTGCTACAGCATCAACAACATCGAGACCGCCATCCTCACCCTAGCCTGCTCCTGTCTCGGTGTCTGGTTCTCCCCCGCCAATGGAACCTTCACACCAGGTAGATGTTAGGGGGGCATATATATTTATATATGTTGCATGCTTACCCTTACTATTTACATACATCATCATCCTCACCATCATCCATCATCATCATCATCATCATCATCATCATCATCATCATCATCATCATCATCATCATCATCAGCATCATCACTTTTTAGAATGCATGCCTCTTTTTCTGAAAAATTGCTGTATTGGCTGGGACTGGGGTTATGGAGTGCACAAAAATGGCTGGGGCTGGAAGGGCTAATAACATACATCATCATAATCATCATCAACATCATCATCATCATCATCATCATCATCATCAACAACATCGAGACCGCCATCCTGACCCTAGCCTGCTCCTGTCTCGGTGTCTGGTTCTCCCCCGCCAATGGAACCTTCACACCAGGTAGATGTTAGGGGGGCACATGTGGTGTGCTTGCCCTTATTAACTACATACATCATCATCATCATCATCATCATCATCATCATTGTTTGATAAGCATAGTAGGAGGGAGAGTCTTATTTGAATTTCAGACAAAATAACAAAATGCTAAAATGTTTAAAATTTGTTTAATAGCTCAACGTTTCGCGCCTCTTGGGCTTCCTCAGGAGCAACTGAGAGAAAAACTAAATGCGCGCTGTGTACTAGCAGGGAAATGGGCCTAGCATCATCATCATCATCATCATCATCATCATCGTCATCATCATCATCATCATTTCCTTTCTCACCCTGGATCAGATAGATGTTATGGGGGCAATTGTGGTGTGTTTGCCCTTTCTAACCCTTCTAGCGACAAGTGCGGATATATTTTCAGCAGCGCTTGTACCTCCCACCTTCCCTAGAGCGTATATTCTCAGTTTTGGGAGGTACCAAATTTGAGCTTTTTTCAATTAGCGAACCTAAATAAACTTAAATACCAGTATTCATAATATTTGTTCATTTACTGTTAGATCTATATGTTATTATCTAAACCTCATTACAAAGATACTGGATCACTTTTTAGAATGTATGTCTCTTTTTAAAAAAAACTGTTGTATTGGCTGGGACTGGGGTTGATATGGAGTGCCCAAAAATGGCTGGGGCTGGAAGGGCTAATTACATTCATCTTCATCATCATCATCATCATCATCATCATCATGAAGTTATTTGGACGAGTGGAGATGCCTCTAAGTATATTGACAATGGAGCCGAAAAAGAGCCTCACTCATGCTCGAAGATTTCTTCGTGGAGTCCGCCAGGCCCATTAAGGAAACAAAAAAAATCATCATCATTGCCTTTCTCACCCTGGATCAAGATATAGGCCACGAACACATACTTTCCACCTTTCTATATCTTGGGATAGCCTCTTCATGTTATTCCACGTCTTCCCACTTTTCTGTGCTTCATTGGTCCTGCTGGTACAGAAGCTTCTCTATCTCCCAAGATTGAAAAATAGATAAGCGTGTTTGTTCATGTTTCCGGAACTTTCAGTTTTTACTGGGTCAGGTAGTTGGCCCTCCGCAAACTGTCACTTTCCGAGAGACCAGACCTATGCACCTTTAGTCGCATCCTATGACGCACAGTATCACGGCAGGTGTATTCTTTGCTCCTCCATAGTAAAACTTCCCACCTGCAGGGGCAATTACATACATCAGTGTCACAAAAACCTCAATCTATATGCTCATACTTTGAAACTTGCAGTTTTTTAAAATCTGTGTGTTTTATTATGTCTTGACTGCAGCAAAATGTTTGTTATTGATCACATCATCATAAATTGTGCCATCCTCACTGCTTCAATGAATTTACTCTTTGTATACATCATCATCATCATCATCATCATCATCATCATCATCATCATCATCATCATCATCATCATCATCATCATCAGCCCATGTTGCTGAAGATGTGGCCATGAAAAGGAGGATGTCTATTATATGTTTGAATGTCCAGGAACAATGGCAATTTGAATGGAGTTATTTGGACGAGTGGAGGTGCCTCTAAGTATAATGACAATGGAGCGGAAAAAGAGCCTCGCTCTTGCTCGAAGATTTCTTCGTGGAGTCCGCCAGGTCCATTAAGGAAACAAAAAAAATCATCAACCCTGGCAGTGTATAGACCACATACAAGCTCCTTCCATTTATCTCTGTCCTGGGCCATCCCTCCGAGCTCATTCCAAGTGAGCTTCATCTTTATCACGTTCCTTTCCATCTCCTCCATGTTTCCCATGGCCTACCCCTGCCTTGTGCTCCTTAATATACAGCTCACCATTTTAGTTGGTGCATAGCAACACTCGGTTGTTTACACTCATAACAATAATCCTAAACCAAAGCAAAAAGCAAATACATCTGATGTATAATCAAACAATATTATTCATTAATTGGAGTTCACATTTCTACTCAGCTTGTTATTTTTATTTTATACACCTAAGTTCAATAGGACTTGAGTTATAAGGTAAGTTTGTGGTGCTCAAAGATTGAATGACAAAACTGGCTTTGTACGAATGCTAAATAGCCTTCCATTGTAGGAGTTAAAACTTGGCACTGTTTAACTGAGGAGTTTGCTTTTGCTTTTGTCTGACCCTCTTGTTGATTCATCACAAACCATTATCACCTCTGTCAGCACAAGTATATGTGTGCACAAACTCATACGTGACACCCTTCAACACATACAGGCGCACACATACACACACATACACACACACACACACACACACACACACACACACACAC